ACCATTCAATTTACTGTTAGTTTGTTAGGTTAATTTTAGCAACCATGACTTGAACACCGAATTCCGATGAACCAGTTGCCAAGACACTCGTCATAAGATTTTTAATAAAATACAATCACAAGGAAATGAAGCTGGTTGCAAATAGACTGTAAAGAGGAAGGTAACTTAAATTAAATTGCCTGGATTGGATATTGGGGGCTACTTGTAAGTAACCGAATGCAGGAACGTCATCCACTAAGGGACTGTGGCATGCCCGATGGGGTTTCTAATCACTTATGTAAGCCGTCCCAGAATCACAATCGACGAAGACGGCAACACTTAGCCTGAACTGTTTGTTCGGTCTATTTGTTCATGATTAGCCACTTCGCGGTTCCCCAGACTTAGTGCAGCCACGGTGCATGGTCTATGCCGAGGAAGGCTGTAAACTGGCATACATAGGACCTGACCCAGCTAATGTAAGCGGTTAAGATTTATCAAACACAGGTGAGGCAGCTCAAGACTTCTTTATAAAAGACCAATTGGCGGACCTCAGCATTGACCACACGATGTTCACATCAGACGTGAGCTCTGGTGGTTAAGCTCGCCCAAGCGTTTAATGTCTTCACTGAAAGCTGACCAAGTCTGATTCATACAGCGACAACGGCCTTGTCGTAACATTATACACCCTATCTTTCACTGACAGATTGACATCCAGCCATATCTATATCTGACTGAGTCTTCGGAAAACCACAGTGGGTTTGCTGACGAGCAAAGTAACTACATCAGTCATGCGGCCACCAGAAGTAACACAACTACCAGGGTAAGTAAACCGATCCAACAATTCCAATGACTGTTCAATTATAGCTAATAGCTTGGATATATCGGCCCAGTCCCGCAACAGTACGTTACAATTGGAAGCTGTGAAGCATTTTCCTAAGCGTACAGCGTTAGGGATCTGTCAGTTCAGCAACGTTTGCATATTCATCGCATCAGAGCCAAAGAGCGCTATGCCGTCCGGATAACCCAAGTTTTTCAGTCAGTCAACTGTCAGAAATTTCACTCATTAGAGTATGAAAGAACCGAGTCATTTTTGGTCATTTCGATCACCAATTTGAAAAGCAAGATAGATATAGGTCAACACTGACAAATCCCCCTTGTCGTACTTATCTCAGCCGTCATCTTCCCGTGGACCCTTATCCGATCTTAGGATTCAGGGTGGAGGGTATTCAAAGTGAAAAGGTGTTTACTATGTTTTCTTTTGTCGGATAATAAGTGCCGCAGTCTGACGCCAACATTAGAGTAGAATGTAGCATTCAAGTCTGTATACGTGCCTCTGCTTTAAAATTTAACAGAATTGTAAATATGCGGTCGAGGAAACCATGATCAAGAAAGAAACTAGCTCAGGTTTCAATGCTTCGACTATAACGAGGACCAAGAATTCGTCAAACAATAATATCTCTTAGAAGTTTACATGCAATGGAAATAAGGGAAATACCCCGCTGGTTTTCACACGAAGTCCGTTGACCTTCATGATGGCTTTCACGATGGCTTTCTGTCGCCAGGGTGAAGGTATCTCCTCAGTGTCTGGAATGCCTTTAAATAGCAAAGTAAATTCAGTCAACTAGAGTCACCTCCATCATTCATCAAAGGTAGAGGAAGGCTGTCGGGTTCAGAAACCATGTTTCGTTTCAACACAGAAAATTGGTGTGGAATTTCTTTCAAAGTAGGAGGTGCGACATTAAGTTTCTAGGTGGACTCAGGTGATTTGTCAGTCGTCATTTCAGGAAATTACAAAAAGGCCGAATACCAGTGCCCACTGGAATACATTTACGTACTGCGTTCAAACTGATCAATATCTCAGAGATCCATTCACGGTTAGAACGTTCAGGTGGGGTTCACGGCATTTTTCACGACACATAAAAGACGATCCCATGTAGCGTTCTGCACCCCACTCTCATTCAGCATTGGTTATTGGTGGGCTGGTTCATTATGATATTGTTAAGACTGTGGAGTGTTAGTTTAAGTTGCAAGTGAGAGCTTCATAAAGTCAGCGCTTCTTTGTAGCAGGAGGATTGAGTACTAAGTGTGCACGGGCATGTTCGGAATCCATGCAGATGATCTCTAGATTTTGTATGATGTGCGCGAGCTATAGCGGATGGCAATTTGGGCAATTTGATTTCAGATTGTCTAAGAATCCCGTGGGCGCCCGGTGATGTGTTGAGAGCCTTCGTGCCGGGAAACAGTTCCAGGAATAGGAAGATTGTGTTTGGCGCACTGCTGCGGGAATCGAGCACCATGATCTTTTGGTATGCATCAATCCTGAAGCGACTTTCCAGGTGTTGTACTAAGTCTGAAAGACGACCAACTTAGTCGATGTCACCAGCAACAATTAGGATGTCAGTATCGATTGCCATGCAAAAAGAGATGAGGGTTCACGATAGAAAGCTAGCTTGATGCTGCCAGAACTCTATCCATTTGGGGCATAAACGGCGGCAAGTAAAAGGCACATTGTCTTCAGAGTGTGTTTAATAACTCCAATAAAGTTTCGGAGTCGAACTGAACCCCTTAGCTAATGCACCGGAATCTAGTCGGATATTGTACTTTCAGTCCTATTGTTGACGGCGATGTCGACATCGTATATGCCTTGAGTCATTGGCGCAGTATTGCTATATGTACAAATAGTGTACTCTTTGTCAGTAGCTTCCGCAGGAGGAATTCGAAGATTTGTCACAGCTCTGATATCTGCGTTTATCTGAGACACAGCACACTTCAAAAGCAAGCGATTGAAAAGTGAAACTAATTGCCACCTGTTGGACGTTTTGACCCAGAGTGCATGTTTCAGAACTCAGTCCAACAGAGACAAGTGTTTATTCGGCAAAGTCTACTCATCGAATATTACAGCGAGTATGAAAAGCCAAACTCCATTATGTACGTTACACATTCACGTCTATAACTAACAACCCTCCTGATGCGACCATGTTCTTGTTTGACTCAGTAAAACAAACGATGTCTAACTCACATGAATATCGGATAATCCATGTCCACAAAGCAAATCCGTTATGCCCGTCTCCCTTCGGGTATCTGGCTCGCTCGGTTGGTCTGTCCGTTCACTCTGATATGACACTTCCATCAGAGTGCGGAAGTAAAAATAACCAATGTGATGGGAGACTCTTGGTTTGATAGAGAAGCTCTATTTGAACAATGAACAAAGAATAATGATTTGTCATGGGATAAAAACAACAGCATGACACGTCCCGTAGGATGGTTGGGGTGAATTCGATGAAATCAAAATATATGTGGGTCATCTACCGAACGTCTGCCGAGATGAATAGTTTGCTAAATAATCTCAGTGTAAAATTAAAATAATCGAGTGTCAAGGTTCAGAAATACACTGGGGTGCAGTGACGGTTGATATAAGTCGTCAGAAAAGTAAAATCTGGTCGCTCACTTGGGTCCGTTTGATATATAAATCCGGTAAAAAAGCATGCTTGGCGTAATCCACAATAGAGGAGTTTAGGTAACTAAATGCTGGGATCTAAGAGCAACATCTAATCGTCTTTTGAAAACGTCCGGTAGCAGTGGGGTCAGCAGCGGTTTCTTGCTCAAGAGTTTAAGAATCGATTTGAGATGAGACGAAAATCAAGCAAAGGGCAAAAGAGTCATTTCATTGGGTCTGTAAGGCGCATTATACTCTGCAGCTACCCCTTCCGAGAATGGGGTTTACACTTATTGCTTACGGACTATTGTGCCGATATAATTGAATAAATACGTGGGGATGTTTGTTTGTCGATACAGAAGCATGCTTACTTTCGGAATTTCGGAATTATCTATAAACTGGCCGCCCTAGTCAGCTTTTTGGCTCATATTTCAGCACCGCTCCCTTTAGCATATAACGATGGTTTTCAATACCCTGCCATTGTTCGGAATCCACATTCGTTGTGTTACTTAGCATGCTAAAGAAAGGCAAGCAAAATTTCATCCGAATTGCTTCAAAAACAAAATTCTATTTGGTTACAGGCAATATGTCCGCAGATATGCGGTCATGGTTATTTATATTTAAGCGTTTTACGTAACAAATATAACCGAAAGATATGACCGTTTGTTTGCAACCACCTGAGGAGCAGTCTGCAGGTTTACCACAATTGCATGCTGATCACTAGTTCCAGTAACGCTAGACTGTTGCTCACCTCAAACCAAGTGGGAAAAACAAATTTTTCACAGAGCGCCATACAAACACTGGTCCCTTGTAAATAAGCTGAGGCTTAAAAAAGCATGGTTGCAAGGGAAATGTACTCAGGTACATTATTTCCACCGCCAGTCCAAGGTTAACATGAGTAAACAAATCCAGGCCAATTAGCTTGTGATAACAGATGCGGGCCATGGTAACATAAACTTGCGTGTGAGTTGTTTCTCTAAACATAGCTTCCTTTGAAATGGCAGATGTAATTAGCTCCAGGAATGGATCTGCGCGTTCATCGCTTAAGAATCGTGCATCTACCTCTGAACTCGTTTTCATAGCCTGCGTAACCGTACTCGAGGGGATGAGACATGATCCAAATATATCCCCATTATTTGGTGATATTTCCATCCGGAGCACTAGGATTCTCACTGGGTACCTGGGGAGTTGCTTTTCGACTGCACAAATAATTTGCCCTATGGTCAATTTTAATTGCAGGCACTCTTTATCCAGGGTCCAGATGCAACTGTGATTCTTGCTACTTAACGACAGCTTTTAAGCTTGAATGCCTCGTGAAACAATGTTGTCTAATCACCTTCGGGTACTCGAGGAAAAGTTTCATAGCTAGGTCACCACGGTTACATTTGTAGACATTTGAGCTCATATGCGTTTGGATGAATACGAGTTAGTTGACGTTGCCCAAGTTTTTCTTTCAAATTTGTACACATTTCACCTACACTGGTACACTGGGAAGTCTGGATATCCCTTAGGATTCAAGCTGTAGGAAAAACACCAAGGTGCAGTAAATTAGTACGTTTGAATTATTTAGGGCTGCTTATTAGGTATGGTAACTATACACCAGTGTCATCACTCGCTTTTGTTTAAACTTCAGTCATCGTCAGGGGCAATGACTATGGTCTCCATCGAAAGAGATTCGGCTTCTGCCGTTTCTTTGGCTGTCGATGACAGCTCGTTGCATCCGATGGTAAATGTAAGTGCGTCATTGGCGAGCATTGCTTTAGAACACTCTCATACGATCAAAGAGAATAATTTGAGCTAATAACATACCTGAATGAAAATTAATACATATTGCGTACCTAAGGTGAACGTTGCTCCAGTTGTCGTCACAACAGTACCAATTGCGCAAAGCCGCGCACCCATTTTATGTTTTAGTAAATTTTGCACTATTATGCTATAGTTGCGTTGCATTATCATCAGGAGAGATTCTCAAACGAGTGATCGGTTTGGTTTGCTGCATCACCTTCCTCAGCCGCGAGATGCAGTTTACCTAGAATACTTCAGTGGATATATCTAAAGCCTACGGTAGAACACTGGTACACGGTAAGGTTGAGACTATGAGTCTGGAAATAAGATAGGCCAGGGACACTTGAGGTACCGCTCAGTGCGATATCTGAAGGCATGACATGTTCAGAAAACAATTATAATTATAATAATGATGTACTTAGTCATATTTCTCCTCAAGTGCGAAATTGCAACAGATTCACTACCCCCGCAAAGGCTAGTATGATAAATCGCCTTCGCTTGTTGTCTAGTGTCAGATGCCTTCGCGTCGGGAGGACATGAATTTAATGTATGTCACAATACAGTGACTTTTGGTGCTTTTCTGTCCATGTGGCATACTACTAAAATTGGGATCTGCTATAAATAACCTTCAGCAAATTTTGGCAGTGTTTTCATGCAGATTGAAGCATAACTGTGCGAATGCTGAGGACTAATAGCATAATTCCCTAATAGAAGCATGTTGACAATGCAATTGGACATTCTTTTGTCTATGCTCATAGAATATGCATTGGCAAACTCATTGCAGCTAATTGGAGATGGATCTTTGTTTCTCCTTCCAAGCCTGACACCCCATTAACCTGTTTCGTCTTTGTTTGAATTCATCAGGTGAGATAGCTGAAGCTGGGGTGGAACTCGGGGCCAGTGGTTAAAGGCTTCAGCCTTGAACATTATGGCTCTAAGCTCCGTGAGCTAGGCTTTTCACAACGGTTAGGAATCCAAAATTGCAGTTAACTCAGAGAGTAAATGGAGTGTTAGCACAATAAATGAGACAAATCAATGTATTATTATTAAAGTCACTATTGTGTTACAGAACATACTGCTGCATGCAGATTGACGATGATATATTGTTCGGACATCTGAATTATTAATCCTCCTGATCTCAAATATTTTTTAAATAGTGTTTACTCATTAGAGTAAACCTGTCAATCTACTGTAATGTGAAGTAGCATGCCGAATTTGTTTGATCGTCTGTACATGTTTCGTGGCGTATTAAGTTGGTGATTAAACACAGGTAAAATATTAAAGCAAATGACGATTTCTCGAGCTTGTTGTTACATTATGTGCAGAAATTTCGGATCCTGAAATTCCACGCGAATTGATGAACAACCCTGTAGATTGGTTTGGCCAAAATTTTCCTGTGTACCTTTGATTCAGGGTAAATTCGACACTTTCCATCGACAGCTTTCCCACCAAATTATTAGAGCTGTCAACAAACTGAAAATGGTGTATAAGAGTATGTTAGTAGTTACACCCAACTAAATTCCGCACAACAAACAGGACGTGACATCAGACGGAATCATGAACTACTTCCTGGAATTTGTTATTTTTTCGTTGCTCAAAACACAGCTCAGATCGATGAGTGCACCGGTCAGACCGATAGTTTATTTTGTGGGCCCATGAACTATTGGTGAAATGTGGTCTTAACCGTCTCGACAACACAAATAACATAGCATTTCGGTTTGCACACATGAATTAATTAGAATGTCCTATTTCCAAACGAGTTTTCATTGTGTTTATCTAATAAAAGGTGTTTAACCTGTGCAATCACGAAAATTATCATACCAAACTTAATGAACCTCAAGCTTGGCAGAGGTACAGCATCTGGGTGAGCCAACGCAAAAATTATAGTCTTACGTTCGCTAAGTTTAGAATCTCCCTTATTGGCTTATACCAGCCAAAGTTTATAAAGTTCAGCGTGCAAACTTTTCGCGTAAATAATGTTACGATTATACTTATAAAGCTAGTCCTATTTGACCTTATTAAATTAAGTAACTGAAAAGAGATAATTCATGCTCGAGATAGTTGGTTGTCAAAAATACTACGAAAATCTCGGTTCCCTCCTTAAATTAAATCCATAGCCTGATAAACAGAAGCTTCAGCCATACGTAAAATATATCTAAAATATCTCGACATTGTTAGTCAGGTGACTGCATTACTTAACGCGTTTTCGCATCCTTCAAGCTTCAAGGTCGAACAGTGTCATGTTAAACTGACTGCGGATTTAAGTGTTAAACTGTAAAGCTTTTGTGTGCTGCTGTACAACCTACTGTGACTTCTCAGCCATGTTTCGATTGCAAGCCCAATCGAATTTTTCAAGTATCTTTAGTTTGCTTCTTATTAGCATGGTTATAACTCATTAATGAAGCCTACAGTATGTGGTTTATATTTTAATGTTTACGCTTCCTACGAAATCCTTAGCCTAAGCTTCGTATCTTCGTTACTGACATCCTATTTTTTATAGTGTACAGCGTCAAGTTCACTACACTGAACATTTCTATGGTGGACTAAGAGATACCGAAAAGCTTCAATTCCTTATGAAATGCGAAACCACAAGATAAGCAAACTCACAGTCAGATAGCATTTACCTTCCAATTGCTAATGATAATATATAGGTTGTACACGTCGTACACAACGGAAGCAGAAGCTTAGTGGTTATTTCACGGTAAATATCCGGCTTTCAGGCAAAGTGCGTGGTATCGTATACATGTAGAAACAGCATAAACGCATAACCAGAAAGACTTGGGCGCGGGTTCCGAACAAGTGTATGCTATTATTGATTGGTAGGCCACTGTTTACTACAGTTCGCATGCTTAGATTATGGCGCACAATCTCAAAATGAACCATAATTCGCATTCTAGTAAATCTTGGACAATTCCATCACTTGGGCCGTTGCTGAAGCAGATGGAAGTTTGGTGTTGGTTCGAACATAATCGATACACCTTTTCATGATAGAATTAATAATTGGAAAGTAGATACTGATGCATTGGTAGCCGTTACATAACTTTCACCTCTAAGCATGAACTGGAAAGTAGACATTCGAACAAGCTGTATAAGGAAACAACATCAGCTCTTCTGAAAATTAAAGAAACGGCACATCCTGAACATATGTATTTAGAATCGTTCGTTGAGCAACTGTGTAAACTTTCTAATGAATAAGCAACGATCGGTTTATTAACACAGTGTAACAACCTGTAGTCATTCACGGTAACTTTGTCTGAATGATCAACTGTGGGCTTAAAAAAACCAAGTTAAAGTTGATGGACACTCACTGATTCTTTCAATCCATTCTCTTCCAAAACGAAGTTTTCGGGTGTTCGTGACAACACCTTTCATGTGCCTTCGAGCAGCATCCATGTTCGTAAAGGCAAACGGACAAGTGTATAAATCGTGTCGTATTCGTTGTTCGTGAGCAGCACACCGAGATTACGTGGATTGAAAGGTTCGAAAGTGTTGCTTAAGACGTTCGGCGTAATACGCAGGATCCAGTTATCTAGTGACCGGAAGTCCCAATATCTTCTTGCCTAGTAGTCTGACCCATACCACAGATGAGTTAGGCGGGGCAACATCCAACATCCTCCTTGAAGGTATTACGATACCAAGAAGTCCATTCTACGGCGAAAGAATGCAAGTACTAGTGGTTTTTACTCAAGCCAGAATAATATGCCATTAGGAAGCCCATGTTCTAATTGCTTCGACAAGTTTCCTTTAAGTTTTCCTAAACTCACAGGAAAGCAGCTGAAACCAAGCAATGGTAGACCAAGTACCATGTGGTTCCCTGCAGTAAGTATGATTATCCCACTGGTAAAGATTTTACATGTGCCATCGCAAACACGAAGTACTGATGCCAAGGACTGAAAAGTGAGGAAAACCAAATTCGATTCACTGGAAGTACGTGTGCCAGAGAGTATACCTTAGTCCTTCACATTAACCTCCGCTTCAGAAACGAAGGAGAAGACTGGGGCAGCGCGTAAGAACGTCACCTGTAGCTTTCAAAGTCTATATCACCAGTGGTCCAAATAGACCCGAATAAACCAAAGCCAGTCCGATTGGAATATTTGCGGCCTGGGCTTTATCTACCCAGAAAACCGTTCCGCAACTTAGCAGGATGACGGCAATATCATTTATTAGAACGTGGTTTCTAGCAAATGCAATATGAAACCGAGCCATTCAATTACGACCACTGGACCAAAAATAAATGAAGAGGGCGAACCTGTATTTACACACACTCCACTGGGTGTGTGCAGACACTTCAACCATGGCTGCAAAATAAGTTATTAGGAGAAAATTTGGGGCTCGTGGTGTGTATTTCTCGGACCCCTGTCGGGTCCCAACCCTATGGCTTCCGGATGCCCGTATTTTGTGCCACTAAACTCTGGGTAACTGCTTAGGACCTGCATTACTGACAGATAACTACGAGTCGGAATCCAACAGAGGTCCGAGGAAGGCTCACGAATGACGAGAACCCGAAGGTCGTACCAACTGGCTGGTGCTTTACGAGACACGTCGCAGTCGGCTGACTGAAAGTGAACTTCTTCGAACTACCTGTGAAACAAATGAATTCGTCACCGCCGCACACAGTATTTCAATAATGATCGACCTTCCACTGGTTGGTACAACAATACACACAAATTCCATCCACTGACCTCCCAATGAGATCCGAAAAGCTTCCTTGTGGAAACACCAACACGCATTGTTTCCTGAAGACGGTTTCCGAACTGCAGCTAGTTCAAGCATCTTATGCCTGGGACCTCATGTACGTACGTGAAACTTGGTTGTACCTAGAAATTAATGCCTTCTCGGAAACCATGACCCTAACAAGTAGGGTCGGGTATTTTATACTACCATGGTGACCTGCGGTACGAATTGGTGGACAATCCCGAAAAACTGATCCTAGATTCACTCTGGTACAGTCTGCGACTAAGAAGCAGCTACTTTGAATTGTGGTGATCGTTTATCTTCCCCCAATATCCACCCCAGAATTGGACTCCTGCATGACATTAGCTTTGGGAAGAGTCTCGCAACACCGATACAGCCATGTTCACATCTCCGGGGACTTCAATCTTCATGATCCAGAGGTCCGGGCATTCGCTAACGACCAGTACATGGTAGACCTACGCTGATTCACCGCAAGGATTCTGCTCTACAGTAGTATCAGTTCGCCCAACTGTACTCACGAACGAAGAGCTCATAATGAAGGAACCAAAGATGCTGAGTCCTCCTGCGGTGTTATGCGGAATACCCAGTAGACTATTTCTAATTGTTCCGAACGATTAGACAACGTGACATACGTCCAGAACATGTTGGAGAGGCCGTGTGATTTTTTGGAAGGTTGTTCTATTGACATTACCTACATTGAGTTTGTTAGCAAGCTCAATGACCTGGTTATCTCTGCACCAGAATACAGGCCCTTTCTTTCTGAATGAACACCATCAATCATTTGGAGCAAAACCCAAAAAAGCATAGCGATAAGATACGCACTAGGGTATGTGTGTGTGCAGAGTGAACCCTAGTCCTAACAATTAGTGCATTATTAAGTGCAGCGAAATCACTGTACCGAACTTGTCCATGAGGATATATAAATACAACAGCGGAGCTTAGCGAGTGTGTTTTGCCACCAAGGAGCTTCCGTACAAGCTTGTGATAGCCTCTGTAAAGTGAAACGTCGTGTTCCTACACTTTGCTCAGCAAATGGATGCACTCAAACTGCCGAGGATCCATCCCAAGCTCTGCGGCTGCATGTGTCACCAGTTGGTGTCACACTGTTATAATGCGTCCAGACACCAGTGTATACACAGGTCACTTTTAGTTCAGCGACCGTTTTAAGGAAGCTGCTACTGTTGCGCAATCATATTTCCCCCAGCCTTGATATCATTCCCCCGAAAGCACAGCATGTGGCAGTTGCGAAGATAGCTGAGTCACTAACACGATTCCTTCAAAGGTGCCTGGGCGATCATCAGGTACCTCATGTGCGGGCGCAGGGAATCACTACCTCGATTTTCAAGCGTGGTAGCCATTTGGAACCCAACAACTATTGCCCAGAGATTCTCTTCCCAGTACTGTATCAAAGCGGAAACATGAATAGGTCATTTGGTAGGATCTAACATCTTTGCGCCGGAGCAACACGGATTTCGTCAACATCAGTCGTGTATCAGCAGTCTACTGATAGCGAGTAGCAGTTGGACCGAAACAACTGATAGTGGGACTGCTAATATCACCTACTTTGCGTTTTTTTAAGCTCTCGGAATCTTATATAACCAGGTCGTTCCCCAAATGCTGCAACAGTGTAGAATTAGAAACCCTGTATTTGGATACATCGGAAATTTCTACCTTTAGTAGCGGCTTCAGGTTTGGGGCCATTTGCGGTTCCTTACTGTGGGCTGCACTCCTCCACAAGTATAGGTAATGGAGCCTACCTTTTTCTTGGTCTTTGTTTACGGACTCGTCAATGTCCACGTATCGAATTTGCTTGGCAGGCTTTCGTTATTTAGAAAGATCACGGTCTACTGTAACGACAATTAGACAGTGATTTTGAATGGTAAGAAGCAAATCTACTTTCATGCAAAGCGGGTAACTGCAAACGCCTACATATAAGCCAAACTCTCACTAATGCATATAAGCTTGACGACCACATTTTGGAAACAGCCTCACAAGACCTCGACGTTGCGACGGTGATACAAAATGATCACGGCTGTTTGTCTCGGTTAATAAAGGCGTTCAAAACCGCGAAGCAAAATGTTAGTCACTTAAGGAGTGCCTTCCGACCGTTTGACCACGCCATCCTTCCTCAATTGCTCAACGCAACTGTGTGGCCGCAGGTAGATTACGCGATTCAGGCCTGGAAATGTTGGCTAAAACGCGACTTGTTTGCACTGAAGACCCACAGTGAAAGGTAAACAAAAAGTCCAGGGGATTATTCCGCTTGCCGTACCATATGCAGCTGTAAGCCCTAGAAGCGTACAGCGAAATTTTGCGCTCTCCACAGTGCAACCACCTTCTGGCGTAACTGATAAGGAAAAGTCGCTGTCACACTTGACGCCACCTCCTGTGACTTAGACGCAGCACAAAAATGATTGGTCACCAGAGGAAATTGGCCATCGAATACAGTCGGCTGGGATGCCGTCGGAATTATTTGTTCCATCCGGATTTGACAACCGTGGAACACTCTTCCAAATTTTGTCGATTTTGCACCCATTATGCCTATTATTAAAGACGACTTGACGACGTCTTAGATAATCTGTATTAATTGATGAGTTATGTTCGTCGAGTGATGACAAGAGGCAGCAAAACATTGTGCCTACCAAGCTTTACGAAATCGGGATCAATGGGAAAACATGTGTTAACAGGGATATTCTAGTGAGTAAACAGATGCGCGTTCCACCCATATGTAATGCTTTATAAAATTATATAAAGCATATAAGGCATCCCACGCAACCTCTCAATACTTGGTTATTTTATTCGCCTTATACGTATTCCCACCTGTTCTATTGGTAAGCATGCACCTTGGATGTAAACTATAGAGTATGAAATACATTCATTTCGGCATTATGTTTAGGGTAATACCCATGTGACCCAGAAACCGGTGGAGGGAAATCGATATGAACTAAACTATTATCTTAGAAACGCGTAAGAAGCTTTTATACTAATTCTAAGTCACAAGTGGCCAACCTTATAATTTGCTTGCGCTTAAGATCAATGATTTCACAACACGTTGCATCGTTTGTTGCGCAAACTGGTTGCAGGTTCACTGCGTTACTGCTGTAGGTAAATAAATGGACCTTTCGTTATTGTTACATGTGGCATTCTGTGGATCCCTCACCAGTGTTAGAAACATTAAATAGTGCAGCTCGTAACATTGACTTTGAGACTACGAAGCACATAGCTGAACTTCTAACTGGGTGATTTTGCTCGAAGTCCAGCTGTCACAGGTGGTTACAACGTGCATTAAACGAGAACGATCCCCGATAGGATGGCCCACCATTTATTCATAAAAATAGTTTGAAGTTCTCGTACATAAAACGGTGAGCAAATAGATCTGATTACAGCATTTGGAACGGCGAACCATGAAGGAAGAACGAAGACAATACTTGCTCCCCCAGTTCATGTCCTCCATACACATTAGCGCTCAAGGCATCAAGTTATTTGTTTCTATTTAACATACAATGTCACAGGAAAGGTAAAAATAGAATAATATAGTTCAGTAGCGCCTTTGCAGCCGTATAGTTGTAGAGTCTCATAAATATATTGCAACCATCCAATTTTAACTTTAACCGACCCGCATATTGTGCTCTTGCTACATTCTCCACCTCTCTTTCCAAGCGTTGTCTTTCCACTTTTTCGACATAGCGTTTACGGCTTAACCATTTATAAGGTTCTGAATAACTTCACGCGATGACGAAAGTATCATTAAAACCTTTGCGCACATTTAGTGCACGATAAACACATATGGCGTAGTAACTTTGTTTGCGTCCACCTTGTGGGTGTCAACTATTCTCATACAAGCTGAAGTGCAGCAACAGGAGATTAGGTGCCATGATCTACTCTTGAGTGACCTGTGGTGGAAGCTGTATGAGTTGGGTGTGATGCTAAACACAGTATTTAGTACTCCAATTATATTACCATAACTTAAAAAGCCGTCAGTTCTCAGTAAATAGGATAGTTTTCCCACATTCCATCAAATATGTATAATCCATGAAGTGTTTACAAATGGGCCATGTCCTAAGTGGAAAAGAAAAGCTTCAGATATCAAATGATTGCAAGATATGCGCACAGATATCCTAAATCTATTTACAGCCTATTCAAGAGTTTAGATTTTCAAAGAATTTGCAAAATATTTCCCTGGCCGTCCAAAGTTTACAGGTCGAGAAATTTGTTTAGCTCCCACGCCGCATTTTTGCACCCGCGTCCACATGTGCTGCTCAGTGTGCTCGAATAGAGCAACTGGTTTAAAATGACGAATCATCCAAGCTGCAATTTATGTCGTTGTAACTCGTTATCACGAGCCACGGTCTGTCTGGTCAGGCACGTGTCTCATGTGCATGAATAAAGCACCGTGTATCAAGCGAACCAGTGACCTTGTCGTGTGTACACATTGTAGCTGTGTGCTTTGCGTTTCTGTATTCTTATTTGTAATATTGAAGACGGCTTATTCAAAGCATACTTTCCATCGGAAAATTTGAAAAGTACACTGAGTGATCCGATTCCTGGAACGATTACCTCGAGCCTATGAAATGTAATTTCGCCGCTAAAGAAATCGTCAGCGACAACTGTAAAGTGGGTATCCTATTGACTATTTGTGGCTCAAAAGCTTGCGAGTTAATCCGCAGATTGACGACTCCCGCGTTGCCATGCACCAAACAATTTACTGAACAGGTTTCCAATCATTGTAATCCAAACCCATCATTTATGGTGTGGCAATTTAAATTACATAACCGAGTCCAGCGTGAGGGAGTCAGCTGATTCCTTGACTGCCGAGCCTCAAAAATTGGCAGAACTTTGTGATTTCGCTAACTGCCGTAACGACAAGATCCGGGATTTTTGGTGGTCGATGTAAACAGGTTTAGCGCTGCTTGTTGGCTGAGAACGCAGTGACATTGGAAAGTGCCTATGACGTTGCGACCGACATGGACGCTGCTGAAAGTAATGCACGATATATATATATATATATATATATATATGATTTGGCGGCGCCCGTATCCGGATTTGCTCGTCACAATGGCCTCCATGGGGAAAACCGCAGGAAGCCTGCGCCTATAAAGGGGACCATGGGTGGCATGCGCTGCACCACCCACACACACATATCTTGTGTAAACCCGAAGGAATAAGACCGGGAAGCATGTGAATGGGAGCCACGTTTCATCAACGGAGCCGGCCCACACTCCTTCAACAAGCAGAACAGAAGCATCCCGGCATAATTGGGAAACCACGCACACCAGACATACACTTGGAGATGGATGGTCCGTAGCCCGTTCCACGCAGGTTACATGGAACCACTCTCTGAGCCTAGCACCGTCAAGAGGACGGTGCACCCCCTCCCCACCAGCAACGACCAACTGTCTGCTGGAACCGGTATGGACGCAGTAGTGGGTAATAGACAGGTAGGAACCTTATCAACATGCACATCAAACACAGCCACAGATGGGGAGCTGAAGCAACACCTACTTCTGAAATGCAAAATTACTCATCACGCAGGCAAAGGTACTACATACGCCGCCTTATTGGCCTGGATTAGTAAATCGAATGGGAGCGTACTCATGGTGCTTCTATTCCACCTGTAATAGTGCCTTCTCCTACAGCTGGGCAACCATCCTTTATAGTAGTTCACAGAATTCGCATTGACCAAAATTTGACTTGGATTCGCAACACCTCCAATCAATGAGTTATCATAAACTCACCTTCTTCCTGTTCTGATAATGTTACTTGCCGTTTGCCCGAGTGCCCTTTCCCTGCACTAAGTTCGTCGTACAAAAGCGGTATGAGTATTTTCGTCGAATTCATTCGATATACATATATACATGCATTGGGGTCATCCGTGTCCAATGGCAGTTCGAATACAAAATGTGCACATGCGTTTATCCATACTGAAGTGTGAGCTATCACAAACTGGATAGAGACACATTAGACCTCATGATCAATGGTACGACAAACGTGTATGTGTTTCGTTTGGAGGTCAGGCTAATAACCACTTACCCAATAAGAACTGTTGATGTGTTCTTCAACATTTAGACTTGGCAGCCTTAAAGCTTGGGCATCTATATTTGAAGGAACCCGATATAACAATAGTGAAGCAAGTGCTAGGTAAAATGATAACTGAACTACTCGTACAGTGAAGTAGTGTGCACTTAGGTGTTGCCGTCTACATGTACAGTCTGTTTTGCTTAGCGGATGGGGGAAATCGCACAGCATGCAAATGTGATGAAGTGTCTATTTCTGGCTCTACGTGTCGCCCGTCGGTCCGGTCATCTGCTACCAGAGGTACGTGCACATTCTCAATGCACAACTGATGCGAAACCTTTGACATTGACAGGTGACATCAACTAAGTCCCGCGTCCAACTGTCAACAACGCGACTTTCCAAACAGTGTTCGTATTGTTTTGCAAATGTCCAAGTATCCAACCGTTTGTACATACCCATGTGTACTCTGTTGTGACCATAAGCCATTTGATAAAAATCTGTATCTTACATCTCCGGATGCAGCCATTTGGTGCTCATAAAACGATTGTCGCTATGCGCCGATTCCTTTCCGATGTAATATATTAACACACTGACGTACTATTCCCCTTGGGTTTGACATTTTACTTCGTCCATACAACAGATTGACCATGTGCAATGCAACTTCTGCTAGGCGTCTCTGCGCGTCTGCCTTCCATCTGTTTAGTACGTGCGTTTTCATAAGCCTCGGTAAATTCATTATGGTTGAGGGACAACTGTAAATATAACTATGCTCAGTCTCATCATTAACCTACGGAGTGGAACATGAAATGGCGACATCATGATAATCGCTAGTCGATTAATCGTCGGGATTGTTCACCTGCCACAGAATTTCCAAGGAAATTTCTCTTCGTATGCATAGTCCAATGTGGTCACACGAGGGACAATCGTTGAGCATTGTGTTCCAAGTGTCAAACGTTACACTTTACGCGTACTGCAAGCGGCCAAGCGATGATAAACTATTGATTCAAACGTACCCATCAAACTGAAAACATACTAAATCATTTGCCGCCCTAGCATTGCTCCGTATCAAGCCCACAATTTGCTCGGAAACACGGCGCGCACGTCGATTATGAGTGAGTTCATGGATGGACTGAACCATTATTCTATGATGCACCGGCTCTCTAAGCGTCGTGATAATTAGCATTAAGCAGCTGGTCAAGCTGGGGTTAGGTAAGCTATAAATCGATTCCAAGGAGCAGAATCTAAATAGCGGTCTGGTGAGTAATACCATGGTGTTTACATAGTGATGTGAATCGCTCCTGAATAATAATAATAATACGAAGAGAAAGAGGCCGTAGCTCTCTGTCTCGGTATGGCACCGTACTAGACTCCACTAGAGAAGGTAACAAGAATAGCATAGCATAGGTCATGATGAGTATAACATCATATATATATGGTTGGCGGCATCCGGTTTCGGATTTGCCTGTCACTGTGGCAAGCCACAGGACGCCTGCGCCTACAGAGGGACCATGGATGGCTTGCGCTGCACCACCCACAGCTCCAACCACACACCCCATATCCAGTGTAAACCCGAAGGAATAAGACCGGGAGGCATGCGGATGGGAACCACGTTTCATCAACGGAGCCGGCCCACACTCCTTCACAGGCAAACACAAGCACGCTGTATTTGGGGAATCAACGGCACACAAGGCGGTGGCTGGACCGTAGTCCGCTCCACACTGAGTGCATGGAACCGCTCTTTGAGCCTAGCACGGCCACAAGAACCGTGCACCCCGTCCCCTCCAGCAACGACCAACTGTCTCCTGGAGCCAGTATGAACGATATAGTGGGTAATAGACAGGTAGGCACCTTGTCAACATACACATCAAGCGCAACCATACCAGGGATATCAAACTACAGCCATTCAATTTAAACGACAAGTTGAAATAAAATAAATCCAATAATGCATACAGATACGGTGGCATAACTCTTCACTAAATTACCATATGAAGTAAGTTGGTCAGCAACAAATCCGTGATAAGTAAGAAATGTCCACAAGTTACTTAAAATGCTACAAACGCAACAAAATTACCGAAGATAAGCGCAATTAGTGTAAGCAACGTGGCCAGTTAATAGAACATTATTCAGGGAGGCAGAACAAACCAAATAAAGCGGAATGAAATTTATCCAGCTGAAAAAGACCTAGTTTAAGTGTAAGTTGGTTTAGCCCAACTGCGGTGAAGAAGCATCAAGAATGCAACATCAGCCTCAGCATGGGGCACATCATATATATATATATATATATATATATATATATATATATATATATATATTTGTGCATTACTTTCAGCACAGAACCACTGACTTGGTCGTGCGTACACATTACAGTTGAACAATGAACAATGAATTTATACGGGTTAAGAAGCGTTGCTTTACAAGCCCCGTTGGATAGTTGGTGGGGATATCAACATAACAATAATGATGCTAAGGATAGTAAAATAGTTAATACTTTAAATACGAAAATAAGGACTTATCGTTTGCTTCGCTGCAGTCATGCGATCCACTTAGCTTCACAACACCCACAGTTAACAACAAATAATTCCAGGGTAAACTCCAGGTGTAGGATGGAGACATAGTGTTAAGTAACAAAATGTAAGTGGGTGAGTGCATCGTCCAACCGTCTTTTAAATATTGTTACTGTCGGTGCAGAGACGACCGATTCTGGGAGAGCATTCCACAGGTGACAGACAAGGATGGAAAAGAAATTTCTGCGGCCCTCCAGACGACTGTATTGTTCTGCGAGTTTTAATGGGTGGCCCCTCAAATTTGTATTGCTGCTAAGTTGCAGTAAAGGTCGGCACACATGATGTGGGTCTCGCAGAATCAAGTATGTCATAATCAGGTCGCCTCGTAGCCTGCGATAGCTGCCACTGAACAATCCCAGTTGTCGCAGCCTCTCCTGGTGGGACCGATTGCGCATTCCAATGACGTTCTTAGATGCCCGGAGTTTTGGCTGCTCCAGTGCATTAAGATCGTGTTTCAGCCATGGATGCCAGGCTTGAATTGCATATTCGACATGGGGGCGAACATCCGCACTCAGCACTTGTCGAAATATGGAGCTGTTTATTTATCCAAACGCTCGCCTCAACAGCCCGAAGTGTTGGTTCCCGGTCTTCGAGGCCTTTTCGGATTGCCTGGAACAACCCAAGTCATTTTGAACCAGGACACGCAAGTCAGGTTCGAGAGTTGATTGTTGTAGTATATTCGTTCTGAGTCGGTATGAGTAGCTGCTTTGACGTCGGATGGAAAGCACCTTGCATTTACTGACGTTGAAATGCAATAAGTTTTGGATCGACCATTGATACACTGTATCTAAGTCACTTTGGAGCACATGTTGGTCGGCGTTCGCCTGGATGCTGCGCCAGATCTTGATATCGTCGGCAAACATTAGGAAGTTTGAAGAGATTCCCTGTGCAAGGTCATTAATGAACACCAAAAACTAACGTGGACCTAGAACCGAGCCTTGCGGCACACCACACTCGACTTGTCTGGGGTCCGATAAAGAGCTCCGAACTCTGACCACTAATTGTCGTTGAAGTAGAAAGTTGGCGATCAAGCTTAAAAGAGGGTCTCCGATCCCGTAATGCTGCAGCTTGGATAGAAGTATCCGATGGTCTAGGCGATCGAAAGCCTTTGCGTTTCTGTGTTTTTACTTATAATAGAAAAAGTGTTCGGCCAATAAGTAATTATTCATATGTTATCGTATTAATCGCTGTGGTTACCTGTTATCAAATATTGATGAGACTGGTTTATATTTGCAGATAATGCTTGAAAACTGTACTTTATCCACTTATTCTTCGATGTTAGACAAGTAAGCCACACTCTTAACCTGGAATTATAATAGAAAGCAAATTGCCGCAACTAGAAAGTTGCTTTTCCGAAAGGCGGATTATTTGCTGCGCGGCGCGAAACTAAATTGAAGTGTTAATTTCTTTGAAAAATAATGTCCAGTTTTGCCAGAAACATGAAGGTTAGTAAAAAAGCATTTGAGTTCCATGGAATAGCAAGCGGCAGAATTGTTTGCAACGAGAATCATGATTCAACACCGGTTTTTGTAATGAAAATCAATTGAACTTGCAAGCAAAAAGGCTTGATAAGTTTTAAATGGATAGCCACCATCAGTACGTATATAAAGGTGGTTTGGTTCACTGTTATAGTGTGTCCACATTGCGTTTAAATATAATTTGCCGGCTTTATTTAAGAAAAATAAGTGAGACTTTCTATCGGCTTGTCTTTGAACATGCCGCGCATTAGTGGTTGCGCACATGCATTTCGTTAAATGATAAGAACCATCAAAATGAGGAAGAATGTCGCCAAGGTAGTTCAAGTTCTTGTTATTTTACTTAAGCATGTTTCATTAGGGCACACCTATAAATCACACAAGCACATAATGTGCCAAAGTATTGCTTTTATATCCAAAGTGATCAATTTATTTCACTGACATTAGGAGTTAATTCAAATAAACATAAGCACATCTCTACTGATTGGTGCATTTGTGATCAACATCTTTTGTTTCGGAAATACAAATTTGCACAGAAACATCAGTTGCACGAATACAATATTCATAAACAGGCTGCAATAATAAGTAAGTTACAATCTTCTACAATAAGCACATTTGTGTGTTGTGAATCTGTTGCATGCATCAAATAGAAAATAAAACTCGTTGGACAAACGTATGTGGGATTTTCGTAATTGACTGGCCTAAATATGATGTACCACAAAGTGAATTAAAATTTGAACTTGGGGTAGAGATGTTAACCAGTGCTGACAATCAGTCCACCTTGTCTACCTCACATTGACTTGCCTTTACCTAGTCCTTTCTACGTATGTGTACAATGTTCATAGTATTGTGGTTTAAATGCGTAATTGCAGCCTCTCTTACGTATCTTTTCAGCTAAAGTGTCCTTTCCAAAAAGCCATGTCTTTGCGTAAAAGCATATTAACAAGCGGTGCCGTTTTGCTGCTCATTGTGGGCATTTTCTATTACTTATATATCATGGAATCTACCAACGTCAAGAAAAATATCTTTTTGCTGGATCCATTTTTCGTATGCCCAAAATGGAATCATTGTTTAAAACACTTACTCTTCAACTTGTCGGAATTGGACTGGCCCATTGCTCCAGTGGCAGATAAGCCAATTGGACGAAGTCTTCCCAACGGAGAAGTATACAGACCACCTCGTTCCTTTATGCCTGTGGCCAGCAAATCGCAGAGGAAATTATTTAACAAATTGTTAGAGCAATTTGCTGAACTCATGTCGGAGAATGAATTGGGCGATCGATTCTTCCTAATGGGTGGAACGCTCTTGGGTAGCTTCCGACACCACGATCACATTCCCTGGGATGAGGACGTGGACATTTTAGTTGACTTGCAACTCCGCCCACTAATAACTAGATTAGTATCGCTTTTGCTTCCTGAGTTCCGGATATACAAATCAGGAGAACGTGATAAATTGTGCACAAAAAGATTTCAAGGTATCAACGACTCTAAAGATTCGGAGCTTAGTATACGCACCTCAAGGTGGAAATGGGGTTGGCCATTTCTTGATATCGGATATTACCTTTCTAATCGAACACATGTGTGGGAACATGCTTTGTACAATAGCCAGAGACTTGTGTGGCCGAGAGATTTTGTGTTCCCACTAATGTTTCGTCCTCTAGGTAGACACTGGTATCCAACTCCGTTCGCGACGATGCGGTTCATGCGCCAAACCAAAGCATTTACTGGCACCTGCTCCGTAAGTGGCTGGGATCATGTGCTAATGAAGAGCAGTCGTGCATTGTTGACGCCATGTAAAAATCTGCGTGATAGATACGCCTTTGTGCGTCGCCAATTATCCGACAAGCGCCTAAACAACATGATGTTATCAGCAGCGCATTCAGTCTTGCTCACGCTGTCGGTTGTGAAAGAGGAACTGATAATCTACATAAAGAAAGACACTCCATCTGCTCGAGTGATTCATTCAATTCACCTTCCGGGGCATTCAGAGGATGCTGATCTGGACATTTACGATTATGTGAAATGACATGTGATGTTCGCACATCCAGCAGATAGTGACACATTTCGTCCCGAGAAATATATGAGCGACATCAAAATACAACATGTAGAGAATGATCACCATTTTGCATGTGAATATAACAGCCCAGCGCGGCGGCTGTACATTTGTGATATGCTGATCTAGCAATCCGAGGAAAACACACAATAAAGTGGTGCCACATCGTCTGGTATTAACAAATGCAGTCTTTTTATTATACACTTTAGTTGTTTCTTATTATTTTATAAATTGGTGTGTTATTAATACAGCAATTCAGACTGACAGAAAAATTCCTGTTTGTTCAATAATGCAGGCAGTATAATCTTTTGAACAATTATTGTCCAGTGAACTTTCTTAATAACAAGAATTACCTTGTTCTCATTAGTTTATATTTCTTTTTCAATGCCCATTTTCGCCTCTTGTGCAATGCGCCACCCGAGGTTATATCCATCATATTTGCTGCCTTGACTACATTTTTCTGAAATTTCGCACTGTAGTATGAAGTAATTCAGGGTCGCCTTCTTGTAGCGCCAATTTGTTAGATAAACGTTCACCGTTTATTGGTGAGACCACACAAACAATTACTTTCCGCATGTATTTCCAGAAAAGTAGTATGTCCACTTTCGTAAGCCCCCATATCAGCAAGTGCTATTTTGTTAGTTCACTGACTTCGTCATACGTCATTTACAAATCCTTTTCTTCCATAACATACATGGGGCAAAGTTGGGCAAAATAGGAATAACCTAAGATGGGGGCTGGAAATGCTGGTGACTGGAAATGCTGTGGTATTGGTAAGCAGATGGCCAATCGAACGCCAGCGGAATTCTTACGCAGTACCAGACAAGTGCCGTCCAGTCAAACAGAGAGTGATCTAGTCAGAGGAAACAGATTGGTCAGCCAAGCGACAAATGCTGGGCGCGCACCCGCGTCGAGCTCTGCAAGCATAGCCAGTAATCATCCACAGAATGTGCACGTGACCACTAAGGCGCGAGCAGATTCCAAAAGCAAAGGCGAACAAGCGCATACTCGTGAGGAGCTTATGGGTGCGCAGTTGAGACACGTTTTCTGGTATTGGACCGTGGGAAGAAGCGCGCGGCCTGGTGGCGGGGTGCCCAATCGAGCCAATCGTACAACCCACCAACTAAGCTAAAATGATTTTAGACAGAATGAACGTGGCAAGCAAGCGTAAACCAATGGAAAGGGAGCCAGCGACAGAATGCAAAGAACAAGAAAGAGCCAGTGAAGCGGACTGTTAAAACTAGTGTATATACTCTATGAATATGGGAGCGCAATCTTAATTAACTACTTCGTGTACGCGTCCCAGTCTTCTAGTTTCTCAGTGAGCTACTCTATGTCGTGTCGACGCTGGCGCCTTCAAGCCACGACCGTAAGAAGAAGTCCAAAGACGAGCCAGAAAGAGACTTGTATATATGCAATCACATTTGCTTATTTAGTTTTGAAGTCAAAAAGAAGGGAAGCTACTAAATTACAATTGAACCAACCAGCAGAAGGAAAAACGTCAAATGCAACGGCGAATAAGCAACCGTGTACTCAAGAGCGAATCGCATATGTCCTTAAAAATAGCACCATGGGACTCCAAGCGTAAAGTGAACATCCATTTACAGTGACGGGCACTGGCCAATCAGAATAACGAAATGTAGCGTTTACATAAATACCATCAAATAAAGGAGAATAAGAAGTGTAGACTCAAAAGTTAAAACCTAGTACAAAAAGTGAATATTCTTTTAAAATAACCAAATAGAACCGTGAGGAGGAGAACTACCAATGGAATGTGTTCTTGCAAATGGCACTTCTGAAAAGGACACGATGATGAGCGTCCATTAACAATGACGTGTGTGGACCACTCGGGCCAACCCAGTAGAGCGTTTAAACAACAGTCAAGAAGTAGGAAATAGGAAGAATAAAGAATGGCTATTAAGCTTGTTCACAAGAAATGAATGTCTAATAGCTATTCTCCTAATACTCCACATAAACTATGTGATGACCGCAAGCGAAACGATGAAAGAGCAATGTTAGTCCATTCCTTTCCCGAAATTCAGTCATCTGACGAGTCACAAAACTTGCTCATGGCGTGCAACAGGGAGAATCATTTTCTCTCAATTGCAAGGTTTGCAACCCAATTAGGACTATCATTGTCCCTCAACTATAAAGCATATATTCTAAGAGTTGTGATTTTCATGCTCTACTCAGGCAAAGGTAGAAACGATGCTTTGTAGTCAGAACAATACAGGCAACGAACCACCATCGGTAATGCGCCGGAAGACGCTTGCAGTTTGGCCCCCATGGGCTAATCGTGCACAAAATCAAAGAGATTTTCTTGCGAACTTAGGTGCCTGCATTTCTAAACACGAAAGCATTGCAACTCTCAAAGTAAACAAAAACGTTTAGAATTATCCGCCTTGCGTTGTGACTGAGTGGTTAAGGAGCCAGTTATTTGTGTAACAGTCCGAAACGGACCTGGGAGGTTGTTCGGAAATTCTACATTAAACACTTCTAGCTACTCCGCAATGATGTTCATCAGTTCGCAGGGATCTGTTGTGTGTTCAGATACGTTCTGGCATCCGTTCTTTACAAATGTTTCTATGCCACTGCACAAACCCTTCGTGGTAAATTGGAACAAGGTCGACTGGTTTACACTTCAATCGTTGGGGACGGCATTATGACAACAAGGATGTAACTAAATGACGCGATCACCGACATTAGTATGTCACTATGTGTTATGCCAATCCTACGCAACGAAAAACCCACTAGGGAACGCGGTTTAACTGGTTAGCACCGCGATGACCAGCATGCTGACCCAGGAATACCCGATGGGAATTATTTGTAGTACCGCCTACACTAAAGCAGGAGGATATCGTTTTATTGGCTAGCGTATGCTTAACTCTGATGTCCGTATAAGGAATAAACCAGGACCTAGTCTCCGTAACAAGAATTTACTGGCACTTTCATCGGGTAGGTGAAACCAACTTGTAAGCTTTTAAACGTCCCGCCTACTCACCGTGAGCAATTTAATTAGGACGTATATGGTACTCGCTTGTGCAACAGTTACAAATCTACCACCTCTGCAACATGTTACTGGACATGAAGAAAACCGGTCGTCTAGTCCTCATGTTCACAAACGATGAACTTAAGCTTGGAACAATAATAACGTACCCTCATTTAGGCAGGGTGTTCATGCGCAACTATTGTTTCTCTACAAGTGTCACGAAAAAATCATCGAAGTAGCTCAAGTTTTAAATGCTATGGTAATCTGTGTGGACGCACTGATGCAGGTTTCTGGTCCTTCCCAGCAGTAGCTTGTCATGAGATTTCCCGTTGGTACATTTAGTCGGTTTATAAATAAATACCCACCACTTCGGATAAACAAAGCCGTACTCAATGGGCTGGAATCGCAAGTGTAAGACAGTAAGTTCCTCAGATTGGTTTGCCTGCATAGCCTGCCTAAGTGGAGAAGTCTGGGACAATTATAAAGCACAAGTACCTCAAAGCCTAGTTCTTCCGTGATTATGGAGAAAATTATCAGCAGTACTGTGTGGTAAGATGTAGCTCAAACTTATATATACTTTTCAGACACTCAGACAATCTTCGCTGAAGAATGAGTGTACTTCATTCGTTACACACAAGCTGGACTGCAAAATAATCATCAAACTTTCCTGGACATTAATTCAGGAGTTCATCCAAAAATGCACCAACCTCAGACATTCTTCTTGCGTTGATCACACGATAATCAGTAGTTAGGGCGTATTTGTACCGCTACGAATGTACTGAAGCTGCTGATGCAATCGCGTTTGTGCTGCCTAATTGAAACATGCGCTTCTTCCCCAAAACTGTTGAAGTTGCTGCATTGTGCTTGGCTTGTCTTTTTCGAGGAGTTCTTAATAAAATGCATGTTCCCACAGTATTGAAGCACGGGATTGTCACTCAACTTTGCAAGATTAAAGACGAGGCAATAACAGCAGATTTGGAGCCAGTAGACAGCACTGCTACCATTGATCTCTAAAGTTATGGAATACTAGGTTGCTGAAGTACATTTGAACTACTCGGATAATGTCAATATTTTTGCTTTGGTGCAACACTGCTTTCCACAGCATTACTCGTAATGCACAAAACCACTACTCTCACGTGCTTTCTGGCTGGAGTCTGTGAATGCTAAGGAGTAGTAAATTCTATTCTACTTGGATTGCTTAAAACTGTCTGGAACACCGCAATACACTCCACAGGCCGAACAACTTCCTTGTGTGTCCAGCTGATTGGTTCGGGTTAATCCCGTTCCAGAGAATATTTCGGCGGCAGTGTTCCAGGAGGTGTGGGTTTTCGCCTGACAAGCGTCCTTCCAATAACCAAAAAATCCGTTTAACTACACTGCGACATAGCGGATGGGACTCGCCACTAAATAAATTCACTAGATCTTCCCCTTCCGGAGGATCCCCACTTCACGAACGCCATCCATTTCGAAGAGTACCTTTGATCCCATCATGCGATGGCAGACATAGCAAACAAACTCACGAATTCAATCACACTTCACAAGTTTACTTAATATGTCCACTAACACACACTTACATACATACAGACACGCAAATCAAGTGTGTTATTGGCAAACTTGTTGCATTTTTATACAGTTACCAATCACACCTGCTTATATTTTCATGATCACGCCTTCACAGGCGTGCCAAGCACTGCCGAAAATTAGACATTTATTTACGAATAGTTATTTATATGCTAGTTTTGATTTCATGCATGCTTGCATATGCATGTTTCACGTTTACCGTCTCCAGAACTTAAGGGTTTGCGTCACCATACCTAATGTTATCAAAGACCAATGCATCTGGCTCATAAACTAGGAACTCGGACTACGTCACTCTATTGCTCTCTTTAAATTTTCTACCATTCGCTGACGCCATCCACCATCATCATACCGCCAATCACAATGAATTGAATGATGCTTACATGTGGTATGACGGCATCTGTAT